AAACTTCATCAAACACTATTTCGTCGTTCGTTCCAAAAGCATTAAGTTGATTCCCCCCTTTTATCATTACACATGGAACAAACGAGGTTTTCGAATGAATTTCGGATTTGTCGCATGTATTTAAATTATTCGAATTGTATTGAATATTAAGACGTGTTGTTAAATGTCATAAAAGACGAACTCATGATTATATATATATTGTTATTTGCCAGTGCATGCTGGTTACCAAATCAAATATCGACTGAATTGTGAACAACAGCGCCCTCAATTACAATGTTAGTTACTATCGCCAGCCTTGACTAGACATTGTACACACGGTTATAATCCCAATTCAGTGGCCCGGGCAGTTGTTTATTGGAAGTGTGGCTATGCTAATGAGTGTTGTTAATCACTTACATAGCCTATGTTTACTGAAACCATTCAAAAGCAATGTATCAAGGCGGATAAAAAAAAGTGTATGACGGAAATTACCGACGTTATTTAAAGTCCATGTTGTATGATTTGATGCTATATGTGTGCAACGCAAATAGCAACTCGTTTTCTGGCCTATTCAGGCCGGTATCACAGGGAAGTTTGTTTTTTTTAAATTAAAGCGGGAGGGTCGTCACCTGCACACGCACAGGAATTGAGTTCCAAGCGACGATAACAACAATGTTTGTAAATAATGACACGCTATGGCTATCTGGCGCATGCGCAGGTGACGACTCCCCCAGCTTTAATATGAATAAGACGAAGAATATTGCAATTAACAAGAAAGGCAGAAAAAATTGTTGGGACTTCTATTTAGCTAATCAAGTTGTAAAATATTACACTTATTTGGGAATAGTTTTCCAAACTAGTGAAACCAATTTAACTTAACAAATTCCAAATTACACAACTACATAGTGTCCTATAAAAATGCCGTCCTCCTCTAAAAGTACATTACTTTGACTCGTGGCTTAAAGGTATGGGCAACTTTTACTTTCGAATTAATAAATAAAAGTACCGATATCATTGATGAACAATTCTATACTAAGCTATTCAATGATGAATCACAATTTGTACATCCAGCAATATTGCAGTGAGAGAGTTCGGTGGTTACCCAGTTATTATGAAATTTGAATACATATGTTTATACAAATATCAGAGGAGACATTAGACAAAACCATATATTATTCAGGGGTTTCAAATAAAACAAATCAAAGAATTGCAATATATAGGATCGACTTTTATTAAGTATGTAAGTATGCGGAACTGAACTAGATATTACTGAATTTAAGGCACAGTTGAAATTAAATATGGAAATCCACTCTAAACAATTTGAATATGTAAAACCAATTCAACTCATCTTACATCTATGAACCATGTTTAGAACTCATCACAGATAATGGACACAGGATAGGCTTGACGTAGTTCAGAATTTGGCAATCAAGTTTATGTCCTCATTATAATGTGCTAAAATAAAAAAAAATGAAAGCAATTTTATTAAAAAAATTGTTGTTTACGATAAAAAGTACAATGAAGCAATATTTAAAAATGACGATTTTATTACTTAACAGTGTAGCAAAGTTATTTTTTATGAAATTTAAAAAATAAATAACTAATAAGTTTTTTGTGCAAGCAACTTCCATTCGTCGAGATACCATTACATCAGCTGTCATTTACCGCTGTTTCCACTGCATACACACACCTTCTGTGCACCCTTATAGCGATGAAACAATACAATGAAGCACTCAGAAGATTACAGATGGCGGCCAGGTAAAATCATATCCTGAAACTGCCTGTGTTATCGTGTATCCAACCTGTGGAGAATAGAATTACAAACAAACAAAGAAATGAACACACACATCGTTGTGATTGGGTTAGAATATCTAGCTAACGGATGCACATATCTACCGACAGTTGGCCCATTACCGAAAGCGATCTGTAGTACATATGAAAGGAAATTTGTTACCAAAAATGTTAAATAAATCCACTCAATAAAAATAGAATTTCACTAATATTGTCGCGAAACTGGAACAAGCGGACCTGCTGGTCGAAACAACTACAGCTATGTTGTCTTAGAAATCCATTACTCACTAAAACAAATCCCAGTACACTGAGTTGGTAATATATAGTACTTATACACTACACACAATGCGGAGCAGTGTGGATCAAATATTACTAATGCTACAATTCTGTTGTTGCGGGCATAGGTCTTTTGCTTGAGTCGTGACCACCTAACTTCCTTCACAGTGTTGCTCATAACATGGAATAACCATATCTGTAAACGTATTCATGCATATTAGTGAGGTCACATGAACCCTAACCCCCGTCATCAATATATGGTGTCACGGCATTTAAAAAAAGGTCCATCCAAGGCGCCGAGATCGTCTGATTAGTAATTTTCAAGATATTGAAAAAGAAATATTTTTTTTTTACCAGCAATGCGAAATAAAGAATACATGTATATCGCAAGAAGGTATCCTCGCGGAATGTCAAAACTCAACGACTGTATTACTGTCGACACTATGTCACTTTCAAACTGCATTCGAAAATAATACTACTGTGAAATAATTGAAGGGATCGTCTCCGTAACAGAATTACGGCATTCGATAGAGCTTTTACGGCACGATTTCGAGAGAATATAATCCTTACCTCCAGCCTGTGATACAATAACACCAGCGACTCCAGCGGACAGTAGAGTAATTCCATTACCTCTTGAATAATGTTTGGCTCCTACGAACAGTACGGGAACGTACATTCCCTCGGCACCGCCGATACACACACACGCGACAATCAACACGGGGAAAACCCTCAGTAGAGCAATCGTTAGTTGCGCCACTCCAATGACTAGCATCAGCATTGGTAGTAGGTAGATCGGTCGAATATGACCTTTGTCTATAACCCAGCCTTGTAATATCCTACACAACAGGCTGGCAGTACCTATTGATGTAACT